AGGCGATGGCGGGTCCCTACTCCTCTCAGTGGCAGACAGCCATGGACGCAGAGATGGCCTCCTGGAAGTCCACAGGCACCTACGTAGACGAGGTTCCCCCTCCTGGGGCGAACATCGTCAGTGGCATGTGGATTTTCAGGGTGAAGCGGCCGCCGGGTTCTCCACCTGTCTTCAAGGCGCGCTACGTGGCTCGAGGCTTCAGTCAGCGAGAGGGAGTAGACTTCTTTCAGACCTTCTCCCCCACCCCGAAGATGACTACTCTTCGGGTGCTGCTGCACATAGCCGCTCACCGCGACTACGAGCTTCACTCTCTTGACTTCAGCACTGCCTTCTTACAGGGCAGCCTGCACGAGGAGATCTGGCTGCGCCGCCCCCCTGGCTTCACTGGGTCAGTTCCTCCTGGCACCCAGTGGAGGCTTCAGCGGCCGGTCTACGGTCTCCGCCAGGCGCCACGTGAGTGGCACGACACACTGAGGACGACACTTGCGGCTCTTGGGTTCGCTCCCTCTACTGCTGACCCGTCGCTGTTTCTACGCACCGACACCTCGCTGCCGCCGTTCTACATTCTCGTGTACGTCGACGACTTGGTCTTTGCCACTGCTGACACCGCGGCACTCGCTCACGTGAAGTCGGAGCTGCAGAGGAGACACACGTGCACAGACCTGGGTGAGCTGACGAGCTATCTTGGCTTGCGGATCACCCGGGACAGAGCACGGCGCACCATCACCCTGACTCAGTCACACATGGTGCAGCAGGTTCTCCAGCGCTTCCGCTTTACGTACTCCTCGCCTCAGTCCACTCCTCTGCCTACCGGTCACTCGCTCTCAGCTCTGCCTTCGGATGAGTCCGTAGAGCCGAGTGGCCCGTATCCAGAGCTTGTGGGCTGCCTCATGTACCTGATGACCTGCACTCGACCTGACCTTGCATACCCTCTTAGCATCCTAGCACGCTATGTCGCTCCTGGCCGTCACCGGAAGGAGCACATGGATGCTGCTAAGAGGGTGTTGCGCTACTTGTGCAGTACGTCGGGCATGGGGCTTGTGCTTGGAGGGCGAGACCGGGTTGTTCTCACAGGGCACTCAGACGCTTCTTGGGCAGACGACCAGGCTACTCAGCGGTCGTCCCAGGGTTACACCTTCAGCCTTGGCTCTGGCTCAGTTTCTTGGCGTTCTACTCGCTCTTCTTCTGTTCTCAGCTCCAGTTGTGAGGCTGAGATCTACGCCACAGCCATGGCTGCTCAGGAGCTACGCTGGCTGACCTACCTGCTGACCGACCTCGGAGAGCAGCCTCGTTCTCCTCCAGTGCTGTACGTCGACAACAAGGCTGCCATTGCCTTGTGTGAGGAGCACAGACTGGAGCACAGAACGAAGCACATCGCTCTGCGGTACTTCCTTGCTCGAGAGCTGCAGCAGCGTGGTCAGCTTTGTCTGCGTTACGTGGCCACGGAGGCCAACACTGCTGATGTGTTCACCAAGGCGCTTCAGCCTTGTGACCATCAGCGCTTTTGCACTCTGCTAGGCCTTGTACCCACTGGGCCTCACTTGCTTACCTCTTGACCTTGCTTGTACTGTGATCACTATATATATATGCCTACTTGTTTACTTTTGCTAGGTTGTGATCACTGTATCTCTTGCTTTGTTATAAACCTGCATGTGAACTGGTCTTGGGACCGCTTGCTTGTGCTCAGAATTTGTGTGGAATCCTTGAGATCCACCCTGAGCTTGCTTTGCTTTGACTGGTCTTGTGACCCTGTGGTTGTCTCCCACTGCGCCTATGGGGGTGTGTCAAACATTGTATGTTTATATTGTGTAGGCTGTAGTGGGTTACACCTTAGGGGGTACACAAAGTTAGGGTTTCCTACTTGTACCAAACTCTATGCTAGTTCACCATTCCTGCTCAGTTATTTCTGACAAGCGGCGGCTCTGCGTCTTATCGATGGCCGCAGGCGGCAGGCCAGTGGGAGCCGATGGAGAATCGAGTTTTGCCTTACATGGCAGGGCAGGGCGGGCGTTTCCACATCTCACCAAAGGCCAGGGGTCAGCGTCTCCGCGTCTCACCAAAGGCTAGGGGTCGGCGTCTCCGCATCTAACTGTAACAGGACGGAATTCACCATGCGAGATGCATGGGAATTTCCGAAAGGATTGTACCTAGGTAGCTACGAACAGCACCACCTGCTAGCCTAGAGCATACTCTCGTATCCCTCTCAGCAAGATATGTACAGCAAGGCATGGCATCGAGGCGCTATGCCAAGATGCCATAGATTGAGTGGCGACACGGTCTTCCTAACCGAGTCGCGTCTCTCTTCTTCTAGGATAAATATCTCTTCCTGATTCTTGTATCTCTTCCTTGGATCTTCTAATACTATTCTATATTCTTGGAATCTTTCTTCGTCTACTTCCTGCAGCTAGGCTTCTCTAGCTTAGCTCTCTTCTCTTATTCCGCTGTTAGAAACAATAGGAGTGGGGCCTAGGCTTAGTAGCCTAGGCCCACACTAAGAGGTAGTAGGATGTGCCCTAGGACTAGGGTTTTGGGTATGCGAAGGAGAATGGTGAGAATGAGGTGGTTGAACTAGCAAGAGTTGGGATACAAGTAGGAAACCCTAAAGGGTTGTACTCACTGTTGAGTACCCCACTGCAGGCTAGACAAGTAACATTCTGACACACCCCCATAGCCAAAGTGGGGTGCAATCAGCAGAGCAAGCAAAGTAGAACAAGCTCAGGGTGGATCACAATGTCACCACACATTCTGAGCACAAGTTCAAGAAGCAACAGTTTAAAGTTCACAACTATGAGCAAAGCTAGTGGTAGTCACAACGGGCAAGTGAGGAGGAGGAGAGACTGTGAGGGGAGAGAAGATAGGAGACGTCGTTTGGAGCTGCAGTCACATGGCGGCTGACTCAGATAACTGGTGCAGCACAAGCTCTCAGTGGCTACCGAGGTAAGCACCCCGGAATACAGGAGTAACAGGCTCTGCAGCTGCGGCAGGAGCATCGGACCCACGGGCGACTGGTGTAGCACTCACTCTGCGCTACCGAGACAGAGCCCCGGACTTCAGGTGCTGCAGACGACAAGACGGCAGCCTCGGCTCAACCTCCCCCAACTGTCCCACACACCCCCCACACACCCACTGCTTCACCCCTAGCTCCACTCCCCCTTCACTCCTGAAACCCTAAACCCTCGGCTCCCACACATCCACCCCCCTCAGCGGCAGCTGCAGCAGTGGGAGACGAGGAAGGAGGAGGAGGAGGAAAGGGGCGACGCACACGGAGCACCCCCACACCCGCCACCCCCACACCCCTTGTGGTGGTGGGGGGGGGGGGGGCAGAGCAGAACAGTGCGCACGAGGGCGCAGACAGTAGCAGAGCGCACGAGGGCGCGGGCACGAGGCACGAGGCACACGGCACGAGGCACAGGCACAGGCACAGGCAGAGGCACAGGCACAGGCACAGGCATAGGCAGGTAGGTAGGTAGGCACGAGGCCCGAGGCACAAGGCACGAGCAGGCACAGGCACAGGCACAGGCACAGGCAGAGGCACAGGCACAGGCACAGGCACAGGCAGGTAGGTAGTAGGCTCGAGGCACAAGGCACGAGCAGGCACAGGCACAGGCACAGGCAGAGGCACAGGCACAGGCACAGGCACAGGTAGGTAGGTAGTAGGCTCGAGGCACAAGGCACGAGCAGGCACAGGCACAGGCACAGGCAGAGGCACAGGCACAGGCACAGGTAGGTAGGTAGTAGGCTCGAGGGACAAGGCACGGGCAGCACAGGCACGGGCAGCATCGGGCAGCAGCAGAGCGTACCGGGTCCAGGGGCGGCTTCTGAGGGCCAGGGGCGGCTGCTGCAGTGGCAGGCGGCTCCAGGGGCGGCTGCTGCAGGGGCGGCTGCTCCAGGGGCGGCTGCTGCTGTGGCGGGCGACTCCAGGGGCGGCTGCTGCAGTGGCGGGCGGCTCCAGGGGCGGCTGCTGCAGTGGCGGCCGACTCCAGGGGCTGCTGCTGCAGTTGCTGGCGGCTCCAGGGGCTGCTGCAGCAGTTGCGGGCGGCTCCAGGGGCTGCTGCTGCAGGTGCTGGCGGCTCCAGGGGCTGCTGCTGCAGGTGCTGGCGGCTCCAGGGGCTGCTGCTGCAGTTGCGGGCGGCTCCAGGGGCTGCTGCTGCAGTGGCGGGCGGCTCGAGGCGCGCCCTGGCCTGGCGCAGTCCGTACGGGCCGCGCGCGGGCCTGGCGCAGCCCGTACGGGCCGCGCGCGGGCCTGGCGCAGCCCGTACGGGCCGCGCGCAGGCTGGACGGGCCGCGCGCGGGCCCTACGGAGGTCGCACGGGCCACGACGGGCGACGGGGGGCGACGCGCGGGTCCCCGTCGCCCGTCGCAGCTCCTCCCGGGGGCGACTCGCGGAGTGACGGGGCAGAAAGCCGCCGCGCGCCTCGGGGCGCACGGCGGGCAGAAAACCGCCGCGCGCCTCGGGGCGCACGGCGGGCAGAAAACCGCCGCACGCTCCGAGCGCGCGGCGGGATGAAAAATTAGGGTTTCGCCGCCGCGCACCACGGGGCGCGCGGCGGACGGTACGGCAGCGGAAGCAGGTGGTGGGCCCATGGAGGTAAGCGGCATGAACGTACTGGCTCTAGATACCATGTTAGAAACAATAGGAGTGGGGCCTAGGCTTAGTAGCCTAGGCCCACACTAAGAGGTAGTAGGATGTGCCCTAGGACTAGGGTTTTGGGTATGCGAAGGAGAATGGTGAGAATGAGGTGGTTGAACTAGCAAGAGTTGGGATACAAGTAGGAAACCCTAAAGGGTTGTACTCACTGTTGAGTACCCCACTGCAGGCTAGACAAGTAACATTCTGACATCCGCTGCAAACTCTTCTTCTTAGCTACGGCGCTCTCTCTCCTTAGTAGCCCCGTAGCCCTGTTTCACTAACTAAAGGCCAGGAGTCAGCGTGGCCGCGTTTCACCAAAGGCCAGAGGTCGGCGTCTCCTCGTCTTGTCAAAGGCCAGGGCCCATCGTCTCTACGTCTCACCAAAGGCGGCAACATCTTCACCATCATCACCATGAGCATCATAAGCGCCACCTCCAGAGTTGTCACCTCCAGCATTATCGCCATCATTCTCACCATCAGCACCATCATTCGCACCATCAGCACCATAATTCGAACCTTGATTACCACCATCGTAAGCACCATCATTGACTCCATCAGTAGCACCATCAGTAGCACCGACATTAGCAACTTCATCACCATCATTAGCACCATCATTAACACGTTCAGCACCAGCAACAGAGCGAGGAGCAGCGCCATCCCCCACCTAATTACCAGCCCATCAGCAATCCCACCACCTGCATCATAACAGCATAGCATCATAGCCTATCCCAAGAGGACGATCCCATATCATAGCATTATAGCAATGATTTTCGAGGCGCCTCAACAATCTCATCACCTGCAACATAGCAACATAGCATCATAGCCCATCCCAAGAGGACGATCCCATACCATAGCATCATAGCAATGAGCAGACGCAGCGTTGCTACAGTTGCTGCAGCTACAACTTTATTAGCCATGGTTGCCACTCCTGTAGCCATGTTTGCTTCTGTTTGTGCCATGGCCTCTCATCGCTGACAAGGTTTGCGAAGTCTCCTCTATTGTCCAATGGGTTGTTGCTGCTAACTTTGTTGCATGCCATTTTCAGCATAAAAACTGGCTTCTGTGTACGGCATCGCCTACTGCCAGTGATTTTGTGAAATATGCGGAAAGATGATGCAACACAATAAATGTTTACACCGTTCTGCTCCTGGGAGGACTCTCCTACTTACCATGGATACTAGGTCCATGAATCAACTCACGACGTGAAGCAAAAGTATGATAGTAGCTCAGTAAAGTCTACCTCGCTGTAAACACGATATATGCTGCAAAATTTACAGCGTACGGTAGTCGTACCAGCAGAATGTGTTGGCGTGGTATGCTCTCGACAAGAAGATGATGATTAGTGATTGCGAAAACTCATGTTACCGCTCAAAGCATTTTTGTAGGTGTTGTGATGAGTAAGCATGCTGCTAGTGCACTGAAATAACGTCACACAATACCTTCTACTTGAGTGTTCTTGTCCGTCACGTAACATGCATAAGAACGGAGCTAGATATTACCGAGTATCGCTACATCACATCTCACACGTCACATCCCGTTGACACCATCTGGAGCCAGGAGGCGAGTGGCTGACGCTCTTCAGAAGGTGGAACCGTGCATCTTCGTCTTCTAGACGTGGACGCCTCCATACCACCACATCTCAGCACGTGGTGTGGTGCAGCGGATTCAGGGTTTCCCATGTGCGGGTTATGATCTAGAAAGTTTCCTAAACATTTGGGTAATATATTCAGGTGGTAGTGAAGGTGCTAAGTCAGCTCGGCTGAACAAGTGACTAGGAGGCGAGAATTTAGGTTGCCAACAAACTAAGCTGCTTTTTGTTTGAGTGACAAAACAATGGAGCTTATGCCCTCATGAGCAGCTCAAAGACATGCGATGGCACTCGCATCAAGGGGCACGCGCTGGAGAAAAAGCGGCCCTTGCGGCCAGGGGTCACGTAATCTCCGGTTCATTAGCCTCCACGAACTCGCTCCCTGCTGGCAGCTAAGGAGCGGTGGTGCCGACACCTGGCTGCATTAGATATGGTTTTGACAGGTTTGGAGTGTGGTGCACCATCTGACCATATCGTCGCATCTGAGATTGGGCTCTCAATGCTTCAACGGCCAAGATGGTCCAAACGTTTCGGAGGGTACCGTCTGAACAACAAGTCGCCTTCTTGACGTCCGATTATAATGAATCGAACGGTTGAATTCCACCTACAACATTGACAGCTTTGCAACGAGCTCTCAAGCGTTTGGTTCGGCGGCCAGGTGCACAGCACAGAGCAAATTCGGGAAAGGGGTTTTTGGGGGGCTTGAAAGAACAGAGCTAGTTGACTTCACCCGAACATGAAGGGGAGGGGGGAAGTCAGCCTGCTTGTTGATAACAAACCGACTGGTAATGGTTGAAACCGATCAAATTATACGTTTTCCACATTTGCTTGACCCCTCTTCCCCAGCTCCGAGCAAATCTTGCTGGGCGACCATCTCACCCATCCCCCCGCACCTCTCTCCAGCCTATTTAGCCGTTCCACATTCTTCATTCTCCTTCCTAGCTGCCTGAACATTGGTACAAGGGTTTTTGCTCCTACTTGCCTCCATATTCTCCCCCAGCTCGCTTGTTCGCAGTCCTCGCCCGTTGTCGCGTTTGAGCTCTTTGCTGTGGACTTCTGCTAGCTTCCTTTTTAGCTGTGTTCGGCTGCTCATCCCAGTACTCCTCATTCTCCTCCATTTACAGTGAGTGACGATTTGTCTTGGCAATCCTTAAGAGCTGGATTCATGTTTCCAAAGCACCAGTTAAGCTAACCTATTCCATGATCTGTTGTTCTGTGCAGGCGTCGATGACCTTATGATGGATTCCAAAAATTTAAGTAAACGCAGTACATCATCGTCTAAATCCAACCCGACTACCTCCAATCTCTCGTCCCTCGTCGCAACGGCTTACGAGCAACCCCTTACCTACACCATCGAGGACGTTCGCCCCTGGGGAGGCATTGACATGTTCCGCTCTGCTGCTTACTCTAACGTACGTCCCAACCATCTCTATCTAGCGATGGTTTCAGTCTTCACGAGGCTTTTTCTGACAATGTCGTGTTTTATCTCTGTGTGTGCAGTGCGTTCGCCAGCCCTCCTGATATTCCCTACTAGATTATCGCTAACCTCTAAACTCCAAGATTCGCGTCGTAACGAACACGGGATATTTTAGGACTCGGGGAAAACGGACTCGGGGGTTGGTAGATACTTGGACACGGGTTATCGGGGGCTTCTGCACTGCAGAGCAGCTAGGTCGCGGTAGTGCTGTCGTCTAGAAGGTCCTTCTTTGCTCTCATTGTGACATTCGTCGCATCTGATAGTACCGTCGGTGCTTCTCTTCTCTCGCACTCTTCTGTGCTACACCTCTCTCTACCGCTAACGCTGCTCTGCTACCTGTCATGGAGTCCCCACTTAGCCTCCCGTGTCCGGCGTTCGAGGGTTTCGAGAAACGCCTCGACGTGGAGTTCACCTGGAAGAAGGCCATTCTGCCTGAGCTCAAGTGCAAGGGTCTGCGTTCCGCGTCTCGCGCGGCTCTGGATGCCATGCTCGACGACGCTCAGTGCACCATTGTGTCTAAGATGTCCAACGAGTATCTGGACGCGTATGTTCTCTCCGAGTCGAGCCTCTTCATCTTCCCGACTCGCGCTGTGATCAAGACCTGCGGAACCACCCGCCTGCTCAACGCTATCCCGAAGCTGCTGAAGATTGCTGACGAGGCCGGGCTCGAGCCCGCTCGCTGCCGGTACTCCCGAGGGACGTTCCTGTTCCCGGAGGCGCAGCCTTCCCCGCACAGGAGCTTCGACGAGGAGGTTACGGTGCTCGACGGTTACTTCGGCGGGCTCAAGCATCGCCGCGCGCACGTCATGGGCGACGTGCTCGGAAGCAGGAAGTGGCACGTGTACGTGGCTGGGGAGCTGCCTGCTGCTGTGAATCCCGCGGCTGCCGGCGCTGGTACGGTTGCTGCTGGCTCGGCGGGTGGTTCGGTTGTGACTGTCGAGTTCTGCATGACCGACCTGGGGCGTGCGGCGACCAAGTATTTCTTCAAGAGCAATGGCTACGGCGATGCGGCGGACGTGACGGCGCAGTCTGGGATCGGCGATCTCGTTCCGCACTCGCGCATCGACGACTTCAACTTCGACCCGTGCGGCTACTCGATGAACGGCCTGGATGGCGAGGTCATATCGACGGTGCACATCACTCCTGAGGACGGGTTCAGCTACGCGAGCTTCGAGGTGATGGGATCAGTGGGTGTAGGCGCTAAGGGGCCGCTCTGGCAGGCGACTGGCGGCGATCTCGGCGAGCTCGTCGCCAAGACTGCTCGCACCTTCCTGCCTGGTCGCTTGACCGTCGCCGTGCACTCCAGCGAGGTCGCTGCCGAAGGCGTTGTCGGAGGCAAGGCGTGGACCAATCTGAACGCGCCACGTGGATACGCCTGCGCTGGGTCGAGCTGCCACATGCTTCCCGGCGGCGCTGCCGTGTCGTACGTCTGCTTCGACTCCCTCGAGGTTGCCGGGTGCGGCGGCGCTCTCCGCTCCGACATGCTGCTGGGCAATCTTCTTCCGTCGTTCGAGTCGTTCAGGTCCGACTCGTCGGACTCGCTCGCTTCTCTCAGCTCCTCTGATGACGTCATTGTCATCGAAGAGCCTTTGGAAGCGAAGGCGTCCCCGCTTGCTATCACTCGTGCGGTCTCTGCCGCCGTTGCCGAGACGGAGAAGCTGTACGGCGCCAAGGCCGCTGCCGTCGTTGCCGATCTCGCACCTTCTCTCATCGGCGCGTCTCCCGCCGCTATCGACGCTCACATCCGCGCGTGCGTGACCGACGGCCTCGACTCCGCCTTCTATGTCATGGACGCTGGCGTCGCGCTGCAGCTGCACGCCACGTGGACGCAGCTGCTGCCACGTGTGCATCCCTTCTACGCCGTCAAGTGCAACCCCGACCCGGCGCTCCTCTCCCTGCTCGCATCCGTCGGCGCTGGCTTCGACGTGGCCAGCAAAGCTGAAATGGAAATGGTCGCCGCGGCGTGCGGGGGGTCCCTCCCGGACCCCTCCCGCATCATCTACGCTAACCCCTGCAAGCTCCCGGCGCACATCCGCTTCGCGGCGGCGGCCGGCGTGAACATGACGACGTTCGATTCCGTCACGGAGCTGCAGAAGCTGCGCCGCTGGAACCCGTCCGCGCAAGCGGTGCTGCGCGTGCGCGTGGACGACCCGGGCGCGCGCTGCCCCATGGGGGTGAAGTACGGCGCGGAGGCGGAGGAGTGCCCGGAGCTGCTGGCAGCGGCGCAGGAGCTCGGCGTTGAGGTGGTTGGCGTGGCGTTCCACGTGGGCAGCGGAGCGAAGGACCCGCGCATCTTCGGAGACGCGATCGCGCTCGCGAGGGACATCTTCAACGTGGCGGAGCAGCTTGGCATGGCGCCGCTGTCGCTGCTGGACATTGGAGGAGGCTTCACGTATGACGGGCTGCAGGATGATGACTACGCGAACAACGCTGCTGCGGAGGATGGTGGTGATGGGGAGATGTCGTTTCTGAAGGCGTGCTACTCCGTGAACGTGGCTCTTGCCAAGTACTTTCCTGAGGAGATGGGCGTGCGTGTTATTGCTGAGCCTGGGCGTTTCTTTGCTGAAGCTCCCTTCACTCTTGCTGCCAAGGTCTTTGGCGTGCGCTCCCGCAACACCACTGCCAACAAGGCGGCTGCCCTTGCTGCCCTCACCAAGCACGCTTCCAGCTCCTCACCCGCGGATAACGCGTCTTCTGCTGCAGGGAAGGGCGCAGTGATGGAATATTGGATTGACGATGGCATCTATGGTTCCATGAACTGCCTGCTGTACGACCATGCGGTTATCTCTGCTCGCCCTGTCAAGATGGCTGCCGATGGGCAGGAGGCGGAGGAGGGTCAGCTGTGCAGATCC